CAGGTGTAACATACTGAGGTAAGAACACAAGCGATAACAGGTGTAGCATACTTTGGTAGGAACACAAGTGATAACAGGTGTAACATACTGAGGTAGGAACACAAGTGATAACAGGTGTAATATACTGAGGTAAGAACACAAGCGTTAACAGGTGTAACATGCTGAGGTAGGAGCACAAGTAATAACAGGTGTAACATACTGAGGTAGGAACACACGCGTTACCAGGTGTAACATGCTGAGGTAAGAACACAAGCGATAACAGGTGTAGCATACTTTGGTAGGAACACAAGTGATAACAGGTGTAACATACTGAGGTAGGAATACAAGTGATAACAGCTGTAATATACTGAGGTAAGAACACAAGCGTTAACAGGTGTAACGTGCTGAGGTAGGAGCACAAGTAATAACAGGTGTAACATACTGAGGTAGGAACACACGCGTTACCAGGTGTAACATACTGAGGTAAGAACACAAGCGATAACAGGTGTAACATACTGAGGTAAAAACACAAGCGTTAACAGGTGTAACATACTGAGGTAGGAACACACTGTGATACAGGTGTAACATACTGAGGTAGGAACACACTGTGATACAGGTTTAACGTACTTAGGTAAGAACACATTGTGATACAGGTATAACATACTGAGGTAGGAACACACTGTAATCCAGGTATAACATACTGAATTATTAACATACTGTGAAACAGGTGTAACATACTGAGGGAGAAACACATTGTGATACAGGTTTGACATACTGAGGAAGGGACACACTGTGATAACAGGTGTAACATTCTGAGGTAAGAACACAAGCGTTAACAGTGTAACATACTGAGGTAGGAACACAAGTGATAACAGGTGTAACATACTGAGGTAGGAACACAAGCGGTAACCGGTGTAACATACATCCTCATAACCTTTAACCTACAGATACAATTTTAGGCTCTTTGCACAGATGTCAAGTACATACCACCCTTTATTTATTCATGTATGTGCACACTGGGATGGTTATCTAATTGCTTAATTAGGGCGCTATATAAATGTTGTATATTATTATATTATTATTATCATGATTTTGGTTCCAAAACCTATTGTACCGTGTCAGCCCCGTATAAATGTGGTGATTTCAACCACCGCTGTCTCGGTCTTGCAACCGATTTGTTTACATATCGCTGTGCGCCTGTGTAACCGATTTTCACTACATAAATAACATCAATGTCCATTTTATAGTCCAAAATGTGTTTGTTCCAATTACAACTAAATTACAACTAAGTTTCGATATCCGGGGCCAGACCTACATTACAACTAAATTACTAAATTACAACTAGATCAAGGGTCTGGCCCAGGAATCTCGAAACTTCTTAATTTTCACTTCTTAACTGTTCATTCTTAAGCTTAGAACGTACGTAGCTGAGAATTTCTCAAATTGGTGTATCTCCAAGGCGTTCTTAAATATTTTAGAACGTACTTAACTAAGAATGTGTTTGTTGATACATAAGAGGCCCTATTTGAAACTCTTAAATGAAAAAAAGTAATATCAGTGTATGAAATACTTCGGGAACTACTTTTGCAGTGCATACAGGCCTTGAAAACCATGTTGAAGTTTTCAACTAAATTGTATATTAAAAAACATATGACACCATTTTTGTTGTTATGGAATGCTAGATATTCCACAACCCTCGGAATAAAATATTGAGCAAAAGGCCCTCGGCAAAGCCTCGGTTCTCCTGCTCAATATTTTATCCCGATGGTTTGAATAACCTTATCCATACCTCACATCAGGGATGGATTCTATTAATCTCTCATTCTTTGGATTTAAGCTCATTTATAGTTCTATTTATAGACACTGTTATCGGATACAAGGGGAAATACCGGTAATTTGCTATTTATAGCTGCATTGTCATATAATTATAAATTATCTGAATAGTTGAAGCTTTCTTGTATTTTTGCTGGTCTGCATATCAGATTATAATTTAGGACTTCGAATATTAGGCTCTGGTGATTAGTGGGACATTTGTACAGGAAATACAGTCAATTAGTTTATATTTTGGAAATAATTGTGTACAATTTGTCAATAACATTTGTTGATGTCTTGTTTGTATTGTAATATTATACTGATCTGTACTCTGTAAAGATACCTTGTTATTTAGCTCGTTCCTTTAATAAATCATATGTGTACATGTCAATTGGTCTCTTGGTTGATATTTAGAGTTTTCACATAGTTAGTTAAACTGCTAGACTATTTCTGACCATTGTTCTCGGACCTGACATAGAGGAGATATAACATATTCGACCGTGATAATCCAGGATCCAGGACGCACACTATATTGGTAAACAAGAACCCCATACTTCTTCGACGGCGGCCGGTGAGACGTGGGCACCGGGCGCACGCTCGTTACATTACTATTCACCTTTTTACCTGGCGATAAATATATCATCCAGGAATATATATATATGGATTTGAATAGTGTATAAAAACTTGTAAAAGGAAGTATTTAGTAAACGGAGTCTTCAAAGCATGTAGCTGTATTTTAAAGCCTCCCTATTTTTGATATTAAGCATTTTAACAACACTAATAATTCAGTAACCTCGTAGGCAGACAAGATACTTACTTCAGAAATAACAAGGCAAGCAAACACCACGTTCATAGAAATCGACGACGAATCAACACTGGCGTAAATAGCGTCAATCTGCAATTATACAAATGTTAGAATTAAAGGTTTGGGTTACACGATGTTTAGCATCTTTGTTGCTGAAAACGTGCATATTTTAGCGGTATTTCAATTTTAGCCTTTTTCGTGACTTCGCTTATTCATAATAGCGCTAATTGAAGTTTCCATACTTCGTTTTCCATCATATTTATCGTGAGTGCGCCGATTTATCAATGCGCTAATCTGTTGAAATTCAATAATGATAAAATTTGTGTCCGCTAAAAATCAGTACTCTTACTGGAACAAGTTGTACAGGTGTCTCAAAATCCAGCATATATCGAACTGCTTAATCACATTACCACGGAAACAATATCAAGCTAAGCTAAATAATGTCGTATCACTCATGACGTAGACGTATAACGTGTACCTTTTTGATGACGAAACTGTTTGATTTGCACCCTATTGCAATGACATGCGGGGCAGTTACTAACTCGTCTATGACGTAACTACAACTATAAAATTGGTATTTGTGCTGCATTAAAAAAATGAATTTTTCTATTTGTTGGCGCAAAGCTGTACATATATATGTATAGCTGACATAGCTGCATCGTGTGTACCTTATTGATGACATAACCTAAAACGTGCACAAGAAGCATCATCGATGACACAAGGGTGGTCCGGTGGTGCAGTAGATAGCGCACTTGCTTTTCACCAAGGCGGCCAGGGTTCGATTCCCCGATCGGACGTGAAAAGGTTGGGGTCATCTGCCCTACACATGAGTTTTCTCCGGGTACTCCGGTTTCCTCCCACACTAAGACCCCCTTCCCTTCACGCGCTAACATCCGGGCCAACAAGAGTGATTAATATAAGTTGAACTTACTTGTTTCATAATTGTTGTAAAATAAATAAAGTTTATATTTTAAATTGATGACAAGGCTATAAAAGTGGAGTTCGTTAATGACGTAGCTATATTGTGCGTTTTAATGACGACGTAGCGATAGGGGGTGTACTTTATCGTGATGAAGCTATGATTGATGACGACGCTATAACAGTGGAGTTCGTTAATGACGTAGCTATATTGTGTGTTTTAATGATGACGTAGCGATAGGGTGTGTACTTTATCGTGATGAAGCTATATGATGCCTACATTGTTGATGGCATAATATAAGCTAAAACTATGCACAAGTACATGATTGATGACGAGGCTATAAAAGTGTAATCCGTTAATGACGTAACTATAGTGTGTGCTTTATTGACGACGTAGCCAATTTATGTTTACTACGTAGCGTTACCATGTTGACCTTAATAATGACGCAATTACATAGTGTATTCATCATTGACGTAGCTTTATAAAGAGCACAACTTGCTTCGTGCTATGTGATTTGATGACTTAACTGTATAATATGACCCCTGTCGTATCCATGTTATGCACACTTCATAATGACGTAGCCATATAGTGTACATGTATACTTGATATGGCGTAACCCTGAAGAGTGTATTTCTCATGTGTGAATGAGATAATGCTATAATAGACACTGTATTGATAACGCAATAATGTAATGTTTACCTCATTAATGGCATGCGCGTAGAACTGCCTGATACTCGTCTTGGCGTCTAAGTCCTTCTGTGCGGTCGATGTCGCATTGCTGTCGGTATACCAACTAGACAAACAAAAATAATCAAATATATCATATTATAACATATAATACCATACTAATATAAAAATATAAGTCAGAATTGGTAACGAAATTAGTCATGAACTTATAACATCATCGAATTAATTGAACTAGTCTAACACAAACGATGCAAAAAATGTATGGGAATATCTATTGATATTTTAACGGTGAATTGTCAGTGCGAATTTTAGAATATCAGGGTTAACGCCCCTATTCATCAAATGATGGCATTATTTTTTTCGTTTCGATAAATGGATTTATTCTATGTTGATATACATGCAATCATTTCGATACTTTTATATCTTTTCCTTCAAGATATTGCGTCTACTCTTAAATGTAAGGGATAGTTTTTCACTGTCGTGTCAAAGTTTTATTTAATTATAGTCTCTCCAAGTGTTCCGTGCGATTTGATGAATAACGGCTATCGCATTATGATAGTATATCGTACTTTAAATTCACCTTTTTTCAAATGTTTTCAAGTCAATATTAAAAACACCTTCTATACACCCCTAACTTTATGTTCGAGTTATAATCTGATGTGGAACTATGAATCAGAGAAACACGTCGACATTGCCACTGGAGTGTAAGATATCACTGTACTGGAGTAGAGAGAGAACCACGTCATTACCACTGAAGTGTAAGATATCACTGTACTGGAGTAGAGAGAGAACCACGTCATTCCCACTGAAGTGTAAGATATCACTGTACTGGAGTAGAGAGAGAACCACGTCATTCCCACTGAAGTGTAAGATATCACTGTACTGGAGTAAAGAGAGAATCACGTCATTGCCACTGGAGTGTAAGGTATCAGAGAGAGAACCACGTCATTGCCACTGGAGTGTAAGATATCAGAGAGAGAACCACGTCATGACCACTGAAGTGTTAGATATCGCTGTACTGGAGTAGAGAGAGAACCACGTCACGACCACTCAAGTGTAAGATATCACTGTACTGGAGTAGAGAGAACCACGTCATGACCACTGAAGTGTTAGATATCGCTGTACTGGAGTAGAGAGAGAACCACGTCACGAACACTGAAGTGTAAGATATCACTGTACTGGAGTAGAGAGAGAACCACGTCACGACCACTCAAGTGTAAGATATCACTGTACTGGAGTAGAGAGAACCACGTCATGACCACTGAAGTGTAAGATATCACTGCACTGGAGTAGAGAGAGAACCACGTCATGACCACTGAAGAGTTAGATATCACTGTACTGGAGTAGAGAGAGAACCACGTCACGAACACTGAAGTGTAAGATATCACTGTACTGGAGTAGACAAAGAACCACGTCATTGCCACTGGAGTGTAAGATATCACTGTACTGGAGTAGAGAGAGGACCACGACATGATCACTGAAGTGTAAGATATCACTGTACTGGAGTAGACAAAGAACCACGTCATTGCCACTGGAGTGTAAGATATCACTGTACTGGAGTAGAGAGAGAACCACGTCATGACCACTGAAGTGTTAGATATCACTGTACTGGAGTAGAGAGAGAACCACGTCACGACCACTGAAGTGTAAGATATCACTGTACTGGAGTAGAGAGAGGACCACGACATGACCACTGAAGTGTAAGATATCACTGTACTGGAGTAGAGAGAGAACCACGTCATGACCACTGGAGTGTAATATATCACTGTACTGGAGTAGAGATAGAACCACGTCATGACCACTGGAGTGTAAGATATCAGAGAGAGAACCACGTCATGACCACTGAAGTGTTAGATATCACTGTACTGGAGTAGAGAGAGAACCACGTCATTCCCACTGGAGTGTAAGATATCACTGTACTGGAGTAGAGAGAGGACCACGACATGATCACTGAAGTGTAAGATATCACTGTACTGGAGTAGAGAGAGAACCACGTCATGACCACTGAAGAGTAAGATATCACTGTACTGGAGTAGAGAGAGAACCACGTCATTGCCACTGGAGTGTAAGATATCACTGTACTGGAGTAGAGAGAGGACCACGTCATTGCCACTGAAGTGTAAGATATCACTGTACTGGAGTAGAGAGAGAACCACGTCATGACCACTGAAGAGTTAGATATCACTGTACTGGAGTAGAGAGAGAACCACGTCATTCCCACTGGAGTGTAAGATATCACTGTACTGGAGTAGAGAGAACCACGTCATGACCACTGAAGTGTAAGATATCACTGTACGGGAGTAGAGAGAGAACCACGTCATGACCACTGGAGTGTAAGATATCACTGTACTGGAGAAGAGAGAGAACCACGTCATGACCACTGAAGTGTAAGATATCACTGTACGGGAGTAGAGAGAGAACCACGTCATGACCACTGGAGAGTAAGATATCACTGTACTGGAGTAGAGAGGACACGCCTCGCCTACCTTAGGTAATTACCGTAATTGCCGCCTACATTACCTAGTCGTTCAAACATCAAACATGTTTCACAATATGCACTTGAATTTAGTTAGTAAATATATGATAATAATAATAATACTATTAACTGGAGGTCCTTTATACCGCTTTATCACAACCTAGTTCGTCACGAGCCCGGCGTCTCACATGTACCACTAGCCCACCGTGCCTCCTGATGTTGGTCGTAGACACGTAGACTGGTACTTGAATTACTAAACAATAAAATCTGTTCTGAAGTGGGGAACGTTATTTGATATGAAATTATCTATCTATTGTCTTTTAATACTTTTAGCAACTTTTGATATGAATATTTCATAATATTTCATAATATTCCATAATAATATTTCATAAGGGTGTAGACGTAAATCAGTGTTTGAAGTTTCACAAACTTTCATAAATGTACAGTGACCATGTTTGGCAATATGCACTTGAATTTAGTTAGTAAATAGATGGTGTTGGTCATAAACACGTAGACTGGTACTTGACATACTAAACAATAAAATCTGTTCTGAAGAGGGGTTATTTGATATGAAATATTAACGTCAACAAAGCGATACATTAAGAAATTATTTATATTGTGTTTTAATGATTTTGGCAATTTTAATTAATATGAATGGCCTCTTGTTCGGACAACAACTCCAGAGGAAATCTGTATAGTATGACATCGAGTTGTATCCCAAGTCGATTTCTTTCTTAAATTTATTTACTTATTTATCATTAAATGTTCTCACTAGTTGTAAATGGAGTAATCGGTGGTGATCATTAACTCGATGGTTTGCTCAACAGCGGATCGCTTCACGCGCGAGCTGGGAATGGGGTATATTGAATCGTCTAGCCTACTTCCGGTTCCTGTTTTGCCTCCGTTCTTAGTCTTGTCGAAATCAAATGCATCATCCTTACTGCTGAAACCATCGTCAACTGAAAGTGTAAATAAAAAAAAGTTTTGGTACACGATCATATGAGAATAAACGAGTTTTCCTGAAGTTATAACCGATAACAGATTGACTTTCCAATGATAACTCTTCATATCATGCTCGTCGGGGAATACTACAGACAGAAAAAAAGAATCTCAGCCTAGAGGCCTAACGGTCTACTTTTCAGCTACAATAAAGACTGTTCACTGGATGTAAAATAAAAAATATATAATTCTAGGTTCTTATATTTCGCTTTATCAAAACCTAGTTGGTAGGTCGTCGTCTCAAAGCGGTTCACAACTTATATATAATTATTATCCGTGGTTATAGGGCCTCTGCAGCTAGCCAATATCTTGCTCAACTCCCTGGGGAGTATACAGCCGGTGCTGCCATTTCGGCGCTCATAGCTAAGCATTCAACAGTTCTAGCACTGCTAAACCACTAGTCCGAATTATTCTGACGTTTTATCAACTTTTTTCATATCGGTCTGTCGTCGATTAACGTCAGAACTCCGGCCCTCTATAATATGCGGGAAATATGCGACCCGTGCCCGGAGCGCACTTCAAACTGATATTTTAGAAACAAATCGTCACTTTCACACACATGTCGCACATGGATCGAACGCTGTTATGCAAGCTTAAATGAACTCAAATCAGATTATCACCAGACAACTGGACAGTCCATGTAAAATAGCCCTTACATATATATTAAACATATTTATGTGTACAAAGTAGGTGATTCATGGATTACAGTTTACTCCTAGGTACATACACACTGGCGGATGGCGCTGCTCGGGATCAATGCTTTTTAAACTGTTTACTTGTATTTCTAGGTTTAACACTTAAATGATGACACTCAAAATACTTTGCAAGACACACAGGATTCGGGTGCCCAGCGAAATTTAACCCCCGTGAATATGTACTGAATACGAAACCGCGAAATATTGACCCCGCGAATTTTAAGCGCTATACAGTATTTCAAATACATATCATGTCTCATCAAAGTTTTCATGAAATTTGACACATTGATAAATATATCTGACATTTTCCATTTGGGTTCGCATACATATGTATATACAACACTAAACAGTAGTATGTCAAGTTAACCTTGCGTGGAAGTACAATATCTACAGAAATACTTGACTTGTGAGAATTGTATATGTGTATTATTCTACAACGCTTACTCCTCGTTATTGATAAGTGCTAGTAAATGGGGTGTCTTTGTGTGTGATTGCTTAGTAAATACATCTACTCTCCATCAAGTATACTTCTTTTTTTTTTTTTTAATGTGTTTCTTTACGACTTGTAATTGTCAAAAATGACAAAATATGTAAATTACACTAGTCAAGCACGTTTCAACTACATTTTTAATGGACTGTTGTACTCATATATCCCTCTTTATCCTCGCAATAAATAGTACCAGTCCCACGTACTGGGGATGGGCTGAAAGGACTGTTTACTTTCTATTCGGAAGAAAATCTAGTTCTGGTATGATGCACATGACGAAGATTTTTTTAAATTAGTGATGCTGATACAGTAAAGTGTATACTTTAGTTTATGAAGTACGGAGGAGTCAATTTATACAAGAATGACACTTCTGTCTGTCGGATCTGAATGTCTCCCTTCGAAGGGATTTCGACACGTAAAGGACTAGGGGCGTTAAGTGCCGTTTCCGGCCTCATCGGGGATTTAGAAGGAGTTGTTGAAATTTCAAATTTATTGGACAACTGGTTCAGGATACATGGCATTACAAAGAGGGACATAAACCCGCATTTTCATAATAAAATGCTCGAATATCGTCTGTTGATCGCTATTTAGTTGAAAATTTGTCATTTTGAAGGAAATTTATTAAACATTCTTAAGTTTTTGAAAACCTCTGCATGCAACAAACAAATAAATGTTTGACATGCTTCTGCATAGCAACGCAATTTTCTTGCTATGGTGGGGCATCTACGCATGTGCATTGGAAAAATTCTGCACCAAGAAAGATAGCTCCAATTAACCATATGATGTTTATAACAGAAATCGATAAATAAAGTCAAGTTGAAATTAACTTTTATTGAGGGCAAACATTAAATGACCCATAACGCCCCAAGTCCGTTCGTTTTCTCATAAAGTAATTTAAGTGTTATATTTTGCAATAAATTCGATGAATAATTTGATAAGTGCAGTTTATTTCAAGCATAAGCATTCTGTTTTCTACAATGTAATATTTTCATTGTTAATATTTGATGATCGTTTTAAAAACCTTTTAGTAGATGACGCTATATTTATGTATAGGGACATTCCATTAGGAACGGTTCAAGGATGTTGCTCGCTTGTGTGCTCGCCTTTTTTCATTAATGGATTCAAAATTTTGTATTTTTGTGTAATTGTATTATTCAACTGTAGTCACACGATATAACAGTGTTTGCAAAACTGGACAACTTTACGGCATTATTTGCCGTAAAGTGTCATCCGGGTGTCTTTTTTTTTCTTCTTTTTTTTCAGACAGACATAGATATACATTTTACATAGTAATATCAATATACACAAACACGCACACATATACATACATACATACATACATACATACATACATCGTTCATACATACGTACATACATACATACAGACAGACAGACAGACAGACAGACAGACAGACATCGTACATACATACATACATACATACATACATACATACATACATACATACATACATACATACATACATTGTCATTGGAAAGATGTACTCGATTTTATGATAAGTTGTTGTCAGAATGTTATCAAACTTTATCATATATAATACGGATCACATGGATTTAAGATTTTTTTCAAACCAACTATCGATTACAAAATTTGAACTAATTACCACCACTATTAAAAGCCTTTTGTATGCTTATTGGCATATCTGTTAGAATTTGTAGTAACTTGCAAAGTTAGATTACCAAGCAGATTGAGATACATGAAAATCAGCTTTAAACAAATATTGCGATACAGCAATATTTCATCTCTGAACAAAACAATATACCCGTGTATTGCGATATACCTGTTTTCCGATATATTGCGACAGCCCTAACACACTGCCATACACATATGTATACTGAACACACTTACATTTACTCAGGATACATACACACATACATGACATATGAAAATATTGTAAACACACACACATTCCTACATGTATGCATAAACGTAGCACAAATTAATACATATAGTTTATGCAATAATCCAAACCAAAAGGATACTTCAGTATGTGTCACTTCTGATCTCTAAACTGTCTCATTATACTACACAGCATTATTACAAGGGGAGTCATCAGAACATATCTACATGTGTAAATCAACAATGCGTACATACATGTATGCATGCTCAAACATATATACACATATGCAAGCATACACGCATGCATGCACACAGATATGCACACATATACACATATGTCCAATCCATGCCTAGGAATGTGCAAATATATCCATCCGTACATACATACATGCATAAACATACACAAACAAATAAAAAAAACATAAACATGTATACACATAGTTATACATTTCTTGTGAGGTCTTTTTAGTTTTATAAAATTATATGTCAATCATCAGTTTCATCTCACAGCATTTTGCATATAGAATATCATAAACCTATATATATACATATATAATTTAGAATATTCGATACTATATGTAAATATATACTTAATTGTTGTTATATATATCATATATAGATCTCGAGTATTCTCGGGTTTCAGCTAGGTTTTATTAATTTCTTTACCCATAGAGGATTTAAAAAAAAGATATTATAGGCTTGTAGCATTTTAAGATTTAGCATGATTCCCGGGTTTTTTTCAAAGGTCTCAATTTCCCGCCTCCCTTGGGCTATTACCTTGTCAATCTCATGTACATTAAATAAATATTTTTCTTATTCAGTCATACTAGGGTTTCTTTTCTTTCTGGAGCTGAAGTAGATGAAGAATTTTGCATGAATCATGATGATATTAGTTGGAATGACTTTTTGGAATTCAGGAGTTTTGGCAAAACGTATAATATCTTCCTTTATTTCAAATGTTTGTTCAGTTTTTAAGTATATCCATCTACGTATGTCTTGCCAGAAGTTATTTATTATTCGACACTGATAAAAAAGATGTTCTATAGTTTCTTTGCTTACTTGGCATAAATTACATATATCACCTTGTTTGATTCCAATTATTTTCAAATAATGATTAAGTGGAAGTATTCTTGAAAGAAGCCTGAGAGTGACCCATTGAATGCTACTGTCTCTTGTTATTTTGGAAGGGAGAGAGAAACTATATCTCCAGTTAACAGTGGAGAAAAGTTGGTTAGATAGCCATTTTACTTTTGCTGTATTAGTAAGGTTTCCTCTATGAATGAGGGTGTTGTACATATCTCTACTTCCTTTTTCACTTCTTAATATTACATTGATGTGAAAGGGTTTAAATGGTCTTTCAATAAATTAATTATTTGATCTTATATCATTATCTCTCATAAATGATTTAAATGATTGGCATATGCTTCTGTATAGTAGAAAATTTCCAGCGGTAACATTATACTTTTCTTTAAAATCTTCATAGCTTAAAAAGTCTCCATCCATTTTTATTATATCTCCAACATATACTTCATTTTGTAAATACCAGTCATTATAGAAAAAGTGGTCATTATTAATCTTAAACTTTGTATTGTACCATATTGGCGATTTGAATAGGTCATCAAAATGTTTAATATTTGTAATTTCCGCCACTTTGGTCCATGCTTCAAAAACATCTTTCCAAAATTGATTTTCTGTATGAATACTTTTAATGTATTCAATTTCTATTTCTCCATTTTGTTTAGGTAAACAAATTTCCCCAAATTAAGTTAAGCCATTCATTTTCTTCAGAAAGAAGTATTCTCCTAATTCATGTCGTTTTAAGTCCATATATAAAGTTTTCTAAATCAATCATTTTGAGTCCACTCTCACTATAGTCTTGAACAATTGTTGAGCGTTTTATCCTATGAATTGGTGATTGCCAGATAAAATTGTAAAAAAAATGTTCAATGATTGAATTATGTCTTTACTTGGAGTAGGGAGAGATATAAACAGGTGATTCATTTTTGCAACGATAAGATATTTTAGAACAGTTATTCTCCCTATAGGTGTTAAAATTCTTCTTGACTATTGATGTAACTTGCCATCTATAATACTAATAATTTTGTTGAAATTTACAGTAACCATGTCTTCTAAGTTGACAGAGAAATCAATCCCAAGTAAGGTAAATTTGGTTGTTTTGGTTGTCCGGGTATTTGACAATAGTGAAAATAATTAATATGTGTGAGGTATATTGTCATTATTATGTATTATCGTATGACTGGCCTATTGGTGAAGATAAGGCATTTGTTTTTGTATTAAAAGTTATAAAAGTGTGACGTAATTTTGTTATTCTATTCATTACACCAAGATAAACACAAGGTGGCTTAAAATAGATGATATCATACATGTTATAGTGTTTCGGTTTGGCTTGGTTTGTTTGTGTTTTACGTCTTATTAACAGCTATGGTCATTTAAGGACGTGCCATGTTTTGTAGGTGGAGGAAACCCGGTGTTCCTGGAGAAAAAAACACCGACCTACGGCAAGTACCTAGCGACTGTCCCATGTAGGTCTCCAACCTGCGACCCAGTGCTGACACCTTTACCACTTGGCCCCTGCTATAGTTTTAATGATGGTCTGCATAACAGGTAACACTTACTTATTGTTGCTCAGCTTTCGTTAAAAGGGCATTCATCCTTTCATCTAATCATGACTTTCTCTTGACTGTACCATACCTCACACCTAACAGATGGAAAAACCTGTTTTTCTGTTTATGATTCAAAATCTCTTTGCTTTAAAAGACAACTGCAAACACGTAACAAATATATGGCTGAGAACTATTTTGGGTCCTATTTGTGAAAAAATACGACAAGGTCAAGGTTTAACAAATGAGGGTGAAAAAATGAGTACTAAAGCATTGCTAGTTAAGATGGAACAACAACATAACACATTAATTTTAACAAAACCGTAATTCCAGCTCAGAATCGGTAAACTATCACCAACTATATTGATCAAAGAACAAACTAACACGGAAACCGTGAATAGGACTAATGCCAAATTACCCAAATGAGAACCAGCGTGGATACGAACACACTGGGCACACAAAAGAGCATACTCAAAAAACCACATTCATATCGCAAAAGAAAAAAAAAGAATATTCTTCAGTTAGATCTTGATGGCGACCAAACCAACTTAGTTCTTTATCAACTTGCATCATCCGAAACTGTGTGTTGTGAGTTTGTGTCTGTTAGTATTCGACATCAGTCATGAAAATCGTGATATTCGGAGAAATCCATGAATACCGAATAAACTGCGACACATAAAAACGTATGTGGCGAAGCAGTGTGTTACTATCAGGAAAGGGAAAGTTTCCGATCAAGAAATAGAAATAAACATCGCTTATTTCTACAGCTTAATAGTAAATACCTGCTGGTCATATTATAAAATCGAGATGAATGGCTGCTTTAAATGCAAGTTAGTTTTTTATGTTTGTTTTTAATGTATTTTAATGACGATATTGTATAGACTGAACTAATAGCTTTTATCCGTATCAGATTGTAGTCCATCGAAAACAGTTTTAGCTACCGTATTAGCCTATGACAAATTCATATCCATTACAACATCATCCCAATGAACCTGGTCACGAGCATATGTTTTCCCTGTCCAAAATGGACACCGGCTGTGTCAAGATTGACTTATCGAATATTTACATAGATGAAACACGAGGTTTACAATTGTACGCGTGGTCTTTGACACGTGATGGTATTTACGTCGAAAATGTTTCAGGCAATGTATTACATGCTTTCTCACCTTTCCTCCGTATAGCATCGACAAATCTTCCAGTCTTGGACTTGAACTTCCGCAGACGGAAGTGGGCCTCGTCATCGCTCTCAAGATCATCTGACCTCTCCAGAAAGTAGGCGGCATTGCTCACCATCAATGTACCAAACTGTGGCAGAAGAGTTACGTATCATATTGTATCCAGCGTAATATTTATCAAAATATTTCTAAAAATAGTTATGTAAGTTTATTCATCATTCTGTGTTTGATCTCATTGTCAAATGATCTCTGATTTTTGATGTGAGATATAATTCTTTTCCACTTTCTGTCCTTTTTCATTATTTGTAATTTGTGCCAAATTACTTTAAGTATAAGCAAATAAAAATTATAAGCGCGCATATTTCATAACATAACACCATTTAACTTTTTAAAAAGAAGACAGAGAATTATCACTATCAAGTTATGAAAGCTGTAACTCACCACATTCGAAACTTTTGACGTTTTTTCGTCGAATTTGACGGTAAAAGCTGCCCCATGTTTTACGTCTTGGTAGTATGCTGTGTCCTGTAGTAATGACCAAAATGAACAGTCGTTAAGAATAAAAGTGATATGATATTCTATTTGATCTATTAAGGTGTAACTCAAATTAAGTTTATTTTCTGATACAGGATCTGTGAGATCCTCTTCACCGAACTCCAGTACGTTTTGAAAAATCATACATACATGTACATGTACAAATACGTGAAAGTTCGGTTATGAACATCACGTGTTTAACAAAGTATGTTAGCTCTGTATCTATATTTCGGTTCTTGATCAATCCGATGTTTATCGAGTTCGTTTTTAAATGTTTTAATTGGTGCTGATATCGCATCCATGTTTTAAAATGTGTAAACATGACTGTATGAGATCTTGCTCTGATTATACCCTACTGTTACTAGTGCTTAATATCTACTGTCAATAGGGCTAGATACTGACTGTTACCAGGGTAGATATTGACTGTTACTATGTCTATATATTAACTGTTACTAGGGCTAGATACTGATTGCTACTAGGGGTTGATACTGACTGTTAATAAGGCTAGATACTGACTGATACTAGGGCTAGATACTGACTGTTACTAGGGCTAGATACTGACTTTAATATGGCTAGATACTGACTGTTACTAGGGCTAGATACGGACTGTCATTATGGGTTGATACTGACTATTACTAACGCTAAATAATGACTGCTACTAGGACTAGATACTGACTGTTACCTGGGCTAGATGATGACTGTTACTAGGGCTAGATGATGACTGTTACTTGGGCTAGATGATGACTGCTACTTGGGCTAGATGATGATTGTTACTAGGGCTAGATGATGACTGCTACTTGGGCTAGATGATGACTGTTACTAGGGCTAGATGATGACTGTTACTTGGGCTAGATGATGACTGCTACTTGGGCTAGATGATGACTGTTACTTGGGCTAGATGATGACTGCTACTTGGGCTAGATGATGACTGTTACTTGGGCTAGATACTGACTGTTACTTGGGCTAGATACTGACTGTTACTTGGGCTAGATACTGACTGTTACTTGGGCTAGATGATGACTGCTATTTGGGCTAGATACTGACTGTTACTTGGGCTAGATACTGACTGTTACTTGGGCTAGATACTGCTGGTTACTAGGGCTAGATAATGACTGTTAATTGGGCTAGATACTGACTGTTACTTGGGCTAGATACTGACTGTTACTTGGGCTAGATACTGACTGTTACTTGGGCTAGATACTGACTGTTACTTGGGCTAGATACTGACTGTTACTTGAGCTAGATACTGACTGTTACTTGAGCTAGATACTGCTGGTTACTAGGAGTTGATACATACCTTACTGTTATTAAGGGGTTGTTATTGACTGTTACTAGGGGTTGATACTGACTTTTTTCTATGACTAGATACTGAGTGTTACTAAGGCTAGATATCTACTGTTACTAGGGCTAGATAATGACTGTTACTAGGGGTTGATATATACCTTACTGTTATTAAGGGGTTGTTATTGACTGTTACTAGGGGTTGATACTGACTTTTTTCTATGGCTAGATACTGAGTGTTACTAAGGCTAGATATCTACTGTTACTAGGGCTAAATAATGACTGTTACTAGGGGTTGATACATACCTTACTGTTATTAAGGGGTTGTTATTGACTGTTACTAGGGCTAGACATTGACTGTTACTAGGGCTATATACTGACTGTTACTAAGTCCCGATACTGACTGTTACTAGGGGTTGATACTGACTGTTACTAGGACTGGATAATGACTGTTACTAGGGGTTTGTATATACCTTACTGTTACTAAGGGGTTGTTACTGACTGTTACTAGGGCTAGATACCTTACTGTTACTAAGTCTCGATACTGACTGTTATTAGGGGTTGATACTGACTGTTACTAGGGCTAGATACTGACTGTTACTAGTTTTTTACTGACTGTTACAATGGCTAAATACTTACTGTAACTAGGGGTTGACATATACCTTACTGCTACTAGGGCTAGATACTTGCTGTAACTAGGGGTTGATATATTCCTTACTGTTACTAGGGCTAGATACTAACTGTAACTAGGGGTTGATACATACCTTACTGTCACTGGCTAGATAATGTTACTGGGCGTGTGTGTTACCGGTATTAAGGACTGATTTTATTGTTACTTAGTGCATATCTGACCGTTACTAATGGTAGATCTGACATTTATTAAGGGTAGATCTGACTGTTACTTAGGGTAGATCTGACTGTTACTAATGGTAGATCTGACTGTAACTAAGGGTAGGTCTGACTGTTACTAAGGGTAGATCTGACTGTTACTAAGGGTAGATCTGACTGTTACTAAGGGTAGATCTGACATTTACTAAGGGTAGATCTGACTGTTACTTAGGGTAGATCTGACTGTTACTAAGGGTAGATCTGACTGTGACTAAGGGTAGGTCTGACTGTTATTAAGGGTAAATCTGACTGTTACTAAGGGTAAATCTGACTGTTACTAAGGGTAGATATTACTGATACTAAGGGTAGATCTGACCATTACTAAGGGTAGATCTGACTGTTACTAAGGGAAGATCTTACTCTGATTGGGCCTTACCTTACTCTGATTAGGCCTTACCATTATAATGGTGTATCTTACCGGTATTAAGAGCTGATTTTACTGTTACTAGGTGTAGATCTTACCGTTACTAAGGGTAGATATTTCTCTAATTAGACATTACTGTTACTAGGGCTAGATAGAGTTACTTTCGGTGTATCCTTTCGGTATTAAGGACTGATTTTATTGTAACTAAGTGTCGATCGGACTGTTACTAAGTGTATATCTGACCGTACCTATTGACAGATCTTAGTGTTACTAGGGCTATACCTACTATTACAAGGTAAATATTATTGTCACAAGGGGATCGTACTGTTACTAGGAGTAGATACATTTTTATTATCGTTACTAAGGGCAGTTTTAATGTATCTCGGAATCAATATTTCTAAGGGTAAATATTACTGTTAATAGGGTTTGTTCTTACCGTTACTTAATATAAATTTTACCGTTACTAGTGGAAGATTTTGTAGATCCATGCCATTTTCTTTGATGACGTAGACAGGAAAATTATCATCTAACCCATAGTTACGTCTGAGAGAGAGGCTGACAGATGTGTTCGCCGTGTCAAAATGTATCCGAATAACATCCGGAAAGGGCGTGACACCATCACGTGATCTTTTATAGCGTCCTACCTCACTGATTTGTAATGTCACTTGTTCTGAAAGTAGAGTAACCTTCTCTTATCACACGTACGCAACATAAAATGAAATGCCACTTACTCGAACAAACTTAAGTCGAATACCTTGTTTGTCGAAAAGTTCGCTTTATCCCGAATGTGTTCTTTTATATTCTTTGTAAAGTTTCTTCGTATTACTCGAACTTCTATAGCTAGAATACCAGGTATTCCTTGAACTCTGATTTATAAATGACCGCTCAAGTCTTTGGTATCTAGCCTATGCGTTCGTCGAATAGGTAGTGACGTCTGCATATCCACCCTCGAATGTTAAGGGGGTTGTGCTCTCTTACATCCTCTGCATCCTTTGAATATGTCATGCAGATATCGAATGTTTTCTCCACGCCACCTTGTCGATGATACAAACAGGCTAATCGAAAGAATCGCTCAGACGCGTAGCGGTAAAATTGACTGACTTTTTTAAAGCTGGGTGTTGTTCCCCTGTAATTTTTAAATGAAAGGTATCAGCCTAGCAATTGGCAAGTTTTATTTTTGCCTGAAACCAATCAAATAGTGAACCGCGTGCCTTCGATTTAATCAAGATATATTCGAGGAGTGCAGAAAACGTAAGTGATCGTAACTCCTGGAAGTTTGAGGATGATGAATGGCAGAGCTCGAGCTCAGCTAATGTCGAGTAAAGTGAAATGACAAGACTACAGCAGCACCTCAACACATGTTTAATATATGGAGTGTTTCATTTATTAATGTTACCCTCTAAAACGTTAGTAAAGTAACTAAATCGATCACTCAGAATGCCACTTATAGTTCAGATTCAGATTCTTTATTTCCTTATGTTTACAACACATCGGAGAGTAGACATACATATGTACAAAATATCACAATGTATAACACAAATTACAGTGGATGCAATAGTATACAATGCATAATATATATTATTAAAACACAATATACATGTATGTGGGTATAACATACAGAACATGCAGTATTATATTTAGTTAAACAATCCTATTTCGTCGTTTTGTACTTAAATGCAAAAATTTGCCTAGTTTATTTAGATCTTTAACGATTTTGGTATTGAACAGTTCTATTAACTTGAAAACGCTTGGTCGTTTGTAAAAATAAGGTTTGATATATTCATGCCTAAAATCATCATAAAATTTGCATTTAAGTATAAAATGGAATTCATCTTCAACATCATTAACGTTACAGAATGTACAAAGTCGTTGCTCTCTTGGTTGATTTCTGTACCTGCCTTGCTCAATATTTAAACTATGTGAGCTTAGTCTAAAACGTGTGAAGTACTTTTTGTATAAGTTATTGATAGGTTTTCTCAAATAGTATTGCAGGGTAAAGTTGTCAATAAGATGCTGATAAAGAAAACCTCTAGAAATAGTTTGAATGTTAGATAATATTTTTTGATGATATATATCGTAAAACCGTTGTTCAATTATTTTATAAATATGTCTATCAGTAGCGTTACCATTGATGTCCCATAGATAACCTAAACCTAATTTGCGAAGTTCCCCCTGGATATTTATAATCCAACTATCATTTGACAAAATCCTTTCTTCATAACAAGTTTTTAAAATACAATTATCTGTAGCTCTTAATTTTAACCAATATTTAATGATTCGAACCTTTCTACTTTCCGCCAGTGACATTCTTCCTAGCTCATAATATACTAAACTTTTACAGGTACTCTTTTTAACGCCGAGTAGCCGTTTACAAAAATTCATATGTATTTTCTCGACATCTAAAGCATTATGAAATCCCTATATCTCTGCACTGTAGCTCAAAATGCTATTTACATATGTATCAAAAACTGCACATTGTGTTTCAATATTAAAATTATGATTTTTTAATTTGCTATAAATTGCATAATACGCCTTATTTGCTTGTTCTGCAACGTGATTTTGTGTAACATTAAATTTACCATTATAATTAAAAAGCATTCCTAAGTGTAATTGAACTGATTAACAACTTGCAGCTCTATATTATCATATAACCACTTTTCGTTATTCCGTATTATGCCACCTTTCCTGAAAACTACTATTTTCGTCTTTTCTGTATTTAATGTAAACTTGTTATTATATACTTTCAGAGCATCCATGTCTTCCTGTAGTTTTTCTGGTGTTTCTGCAAATAAAACTATATCGTCAGCGTACATCAACAGAAAAATAGTAATCAAATTAAGTTCAATTGAAGGACATCCTTCCTTGATAAAATGTATTTCACAATCATTCACGTACATGGAGTACAAAATCGGCGGCAATATTTCACCCTGAAAAAGACCAATCGTATTTGTGAAATAGTCAGAATAAACCCCATTATGCTTTACACATGATTTCACTGAGTTATATAAAGATTGTATGATTCGTAACATTTTCCCGCGTATACCATGATTTATCAATTTACACCACAAATGAGATCTTTCAATTAGATCGAAAGCCTTCTTATAATCTACAAAGCAACAATATAGTCTGCCACCTCTTCTGCTTAAATACTTATTAATTAATGTCTGAAGGATAAATATAGCATCAACAGTCGAGTATCCAGGCCTAAAACCAAATTGAACATCCGTTATAATATTATTTTCGGTGTCCCATTTCACTAATCGCCCATTCAATATTCATGAAATGACCAAGTTTCTGGGAAAAATCCTGCTTGAAAAACTGAGTTAAAAAATTTAGTTATGTATGGTACTATTATCTCTTTGCAATCAATGAATAATTCGTTTAATATTTTATCCTCACCACAACGTTGATTTCTTTTCAACTTATGTATTGCAGAAGTCACTTCATGTTCGGTAATTTCTTTATCCAATTCATCAAATATACAAGATTCATTACTTTCAATATCTACATCAGCGTCAAGTTCAATTTCATCGTTGACAGTTATCCAGCATTCGCTTAAACATACAATGTCATACTTTTGAATAATGGACAAAAAGTATCTATTACTAAGCTTGTTAACCAGGCCTTTGCCAATGTTCCACGAAAGTACAGAGAGCTCAAACGTACTACTGAAAGTGTCTCTCTCCGCGCGTTCCTATGGACGAGTACCATTGCCTGCGGTCGCTGTACCGCCGGCAGCAGTACTGGCATGCGTTGGTGCTGCTGGAGCCTCCTGTTGGTCCATACCTGGCACAATCTCATCCATGTGCAGCTTGCCGTCAACGTAAAGCTGGTCTCTAACAAGTCTAATAGTAGGTTTGTTCGGTGATCTTTTAAGGCGCTTGATAACCGGATATAGTTTTTTTCGACGTTCCTCGATTACCGCAGGGAATTGCTCGTTGATTCCATAACGTGTGCCTTGTAGCATATATGCACTGTTTTTGACACGTTGCAAATCCTGAAAGTATATGAATCGAGCCACGATGGGTCTGTGTTTCCCGCGTATATGTTTGCCAAATCTAGGCACATTTCCAAATTCGATGCGGTCCTCGATATTGAGTTCGTAATATAAAAAATCACGGAGTTTGGACATAGTGTCCTCATCTCTTGATTCCCCGCCGAAACCGTTGAACACTAAATTGCTTTTCATGGAGCGCATTGTAGGTCCAACACTGTTTCAGACAGGTTGTCCCGTACGTCCATGGATCTAGCCTCCATAACCTCAGATATTTTTTACATTTGCGGCTTTTATTTGTTTTTGCTGATCATTCATATGCTGAGAAAGTTTGTCTATGCCACTGCACTTTTTGTTGGGTTCGTCACATTTGCTTGTACGTTTATCTAGGTCACTACACTTTTTGTTGAATTCGTCACATTTGCTTGATACAAACCCTACAGACTTTCCAAACTCAACTATTTTTTTTTTCAAATTCATTGACTCGCGTGAAGGTGTGCGATAAAGAGACCTCAATATTTTTCATCTGGTGTTCCATAAGATCTAGCTTTTGGATATTGTAATTAAAAAATCAAGTTTTCTATGTACTGCACTAAGATCTGTGACACCGGGCATTGCGGCTGCTGGCGTGGACGCACAGGGTCCGCAGACTTGCCGGAACTTTCCTCCTCGATGTTGCTGAAAGCTGTAGATTCAGCAGTATTGTTGGCACTACTGGTACTACTGTCATAATGAGTGGATTTACTCTTACGCTTCCTGGACCTGTTCCCCATAACGAATGTTGTCTATTGTCACTGTGTGTAGTCCGCCAATGATAATTCGATAGAGCGTGACGAATCATCGACCGTAGGTTCGATTAGTTCGGAGCTAATATGTAAGGTGCGTATATATTTACTGCATACTTCCCACCTCTCACAATGGAAAACTGTGGGCAATAAATCACTTGCTACCACAGTCCACTGCACACATAATCCCCCTTCATGGCCAATCATGATTACATGACCATGAAAGGGTGTGTGTCCAGTGGACTGTAGTCACAAATGATGTAAGAAAGGGGTAACGAGTGTACAGTGGAAATGATAAACTTAGTGGACACATTTAAAAAAAAAGAAAAAAAAATTAAGTTAATAATCCTAATTTTATGATTGAAAAACAAACAATAAAAATTACTGAGTTGGCAGCGTTATTGATTTCCTTATCACGTGAGAGGATACGCATTTCCTGGAAAAAATATAATCTTTAGGAGCTGTTTCTTTATACAAAATTGCACATTCAAATATACCATTCATTGAAAGAACTGGAATTCCTTAGGTATTGATAAACCCTTACATTATATGTATGAAAATGGTTACAATATCCAGAATTCCTGTACCTTTGCCACATCTTGAAAATTAAACTGAAAATGTAGTCAGACATTCAACATTGTTTCCCGTATTTTGTTCTAATTGTTGAACAGACACTCCTTACCTTCCCTGACACAAGAGCTGGATAGTAATCCAAAAACACTTGTATCCATTATGAAGGATACACTCAGACTGGGCTATTAAGAATAAAGACAAACTTATCTGGTTCTAATTAGTACTCAATCAGACAGGTACATGTAAATTATCTGCAGTGTAGGGTAGGTAAAAAGATTGTACAGGTGAACAGTTTTTACTCAATTTTTCTGTTTTGTTCGAGTTGGGAAGCATGCAGTAAGCCAGTTATTGCATGATTTCTCGTCACTCGGGACTTATTACAGCCCCTTTCGCTCGGGAGTAATAAATCCCTTGTTACTCGAAAACCATGCAATAACCTTTACATATAATATACGGTACGAGTCAAACTCAAGCATCAAAACATGATGTCAAATACAGCACAATCCCATCACAATTCTCACCTTTTGTAACCCCTTCCTATCCTGCTCGAATCCGTCTTAATATTCCATTTCTGATAGTTTTTCCATAGTAACTACAAGGTGCCAGCACACGGCAACTTTGGTGTCGTCTGACTTTGAATGACTTACCTTCGGTATCCCATTCAAACTTTCCTTGGAATCTAATGGCTGAAGCTGAAATAATTCCCAAAACACAATAAATGATTAGCCGAAAGAATGAGAGCTCCATGATGTGTTGAAGCTTAACGTCAAATGTTCATTTAAGATGTGACCAAAATCATCAGGTGCTTTTTATGTCTTCATAAATATTCATACAATATGACGTCACGCGGCGGAGCATATCATGACTAGACATATATGTTCGTTCACATCTATTTAGTTTGCGTTCCATTCTGTTGACGCTAACATCGGTATAATCCCGTTTACGTGGGTTTGTACCCTGTACTGTTGAACTCCCCCGCGACAGGGATGATATGCTTTGGTATTCTTGATCATTTGTTCTTTTTGACGGCCTGGTGTGGTATTATCCACACTGGCAATCTTCCCATTTCCGATTTAAACTCTCTTCCGTCTCACTTCGTTGCACCTCAACATCCGCAGAACTTGAATGATCCTATCAGAGATTGAGTGCACCCTTCTCACTAGCTTCTTGGAGGCACGGTAGTCTAGTGGTAGGACGCCGGGCTCGCGACCGAAGGGTTGCAGGATCGAGTCATGTCAGGGAGGATACCCAGGGATGCCGTATGATATACAATACAAGTAAAATCCCACTGATACACAGGGAGGCCATGTGATATATCATACAAGTAAACTCCCCCGGATACACAGGGACGCCGTGTGATATATCATACAAGTAAAACCCCGCGGATACCCAGGGAGGCCGTGTGATATATCATACAAGTAAAATCCCACGGATACCCAGGGAGGCCCTGTGATATATCATACAAGTAAAATCCCACGGATACACAGGGAGGCCGTGTGATATATCATACAAGTAAAATCCCACGGATACACTGGGAGGCCGTGTGATATATCATACAAGTAAAATCCCACGGATACACAGGGAGGCCCTGTGATATATCATACAAATAAAATCCCACGGATACACAGGGAGGCGGTGTGATATATCATACAAGTAAAATCCCACGGATACCCAGAGAGGCTGTGTGATATATCATACAAGTAAAATCCCACGGTTACACAGGGAGGCTGTACCAGAGTGGTTTGCTACCGATCGACTTCATCACTGGTGTATACTGATACTTTGGGAGGTCTGGAGTCTCCTCATCTGTGTCCCAATCCCAAACTGTTGTTAACATACCAGAAGGCTTCCGGTTCCGGCTTTGATATGAGCGGTTGATATCCACGAGAGTTAAAATACCCTGGAATGTCGAAAATTAAGAAGGGGACAAAATCAAAAGGGACCGAACACCACAAGATCCAGTCATACTTTCTGAGAAGCTAATCGTCAAGCGAAAAATTCCGGAATCGCCTGGAAAAGAAAATATAATCTCCAACGCACGAGGACTCGCAATTTCTAAAGATGCGAAGCATGCTGATACATCGACAGCACTGAAAGACATTCGAGACATCAAATTGTCAATGCGCTAGAGAAAATCGAAAAAAAAATATTCAACAGTTCCAGCACTGCCCAACCACGTACAGTACACATTAACAGCTGAGTAGACTGGAATAAGCGGAGTAAAGTATCTTGTTCAAAGATACAACATAATGCCGTGACGTGACTCGAACCAGCAACCCTTCGGTCACGAGCCCGGGGTCCGACCACTAGACTGCAGTGCCTCCAATCTACGGTATTATTGAGGAAAAAGAACCTAGAGAAAACACAGAAGTTGTACGGCTATTTGTAACCAACGAATTAAAGCTTCGGGCACGGGAGCGAGACATATTGATAGGAAACACACACCGTTTACTTCAACGAAACAGGGGCGGAAGACTTAACACTATCATCATCAAGTTAGTGACCATGAAGGACATAAACAACTTAGTGCTGGGCACTGCGAGAGAGTTTCAAAACGGGTACAGAATGACTGTCTGCGAAATGAACTAAACCAGACAAAAGCAGCCCTCGTGCAAGCGCAAGTAACATACAACCTCAGAAAAGATGGACAAAAAACTAGAATCCGGGTAACAGAAAGTGAAGTATGGTTGGAGCACAGAGCTAACAAATATTTACAAAGTCTAGTTTGTATCGGGAAGGTTTCTAATCATTGTTTATTGTTTTGGAGCTCTCCAAAATGGAGGTAAACAATTCAGGCAGTGGAAAATCAGGACAAAAAGCCTACTTTCGGTTTTCCTTCCTAATACAAATGTAATATGTTACGAATACAAACATATTAGGATGTTGTTATCATCGGAGAAAAATAGCTATTGAACTCGTAGATTTATGCCTAACACTCTTTGCCCAGTGAGGCGCATGACCAGCCTATATAGTGTTTTCCTCTTTATACGGTAAAGGGCAATGAGGTGGGCTGTAAGAGAAAACCAAATAGAAAAAAAATGATGGTTTTTTAAGGTAGAAAAGCAATCTTCTTAATATGATAAAGAATCTTCTATTATAATCAGCAGCAAATTATAACTAACTAGGGGAACAAAACAAAATATTTGTCTTTGAAGTGCTTTATGTATACCGTGTTCTCCAAAGTACAATGATGTGAAACGAAAAAACCTTGAAGGAAACATTAAATATTTGAGAAAAAACACCCACACAAATGTATCTTCAGTGTGTTTTAGTTTATTTGACTCTCACAAGATAATGATGCAGTCCGAAAAGTAAGATAGATTTTTGATAGTATTGCAATTTAGAAAAGTTCCACTTTGAACGTGTAGCAATTACAAATGTGGGGCTACACTTTTATGTGTATGGATTTCTGACATGTATACACCATCCCAATGTGTATGTGCACTTAATTGTAAAGATTATGTTTGGTCAGTCAACACATAAGAGAGAAAAAAAATCAAAATCAAAACTAAATAAAAAAGTATGATATTACATAGTTAATATACACTAAATCTTAGCAATGAGATTAGCTCGGTCTATGTCTTAGATATGATCTAAAAAAGGTATAAGGAAGCCATATATATTGGACTGCTCGATGACCAAATACATCTTTAAATGAAAGTAAGATTCAGCTTAATAAAACTGTGAGTAGAAGGAATTGCGATTAATGTAACGTTGGGGCAATTCGCCGTGAGGCAATAGTCAATATCAGTGGCATACATAAAGTTACGAATATGCCTCATTAAAATTACTACTTTTCTGTACCAGCTATATTAAAAAGAATAAGAAGCAAAAAATAAAGTACTGAAACAGTTGCAGTAAAAAGCGTATCCATTTGATGATATAAACTAGAACTATTATCATAATTAGGTTGGTTAAAAGTTACATCACGACACATGGCAAAGTGTCCAGACGTCCTTTCTTACGGAGAAAATTTACTTCAAACACAGCGGGGCTACACATATTATTTTAGTCATGGTAAAAGATATGCTAGGGGTTTGTATTCTATAAAATAATAATTTCGACTGCACAGTAAATCAGATAACAGAACAAGAAGGGAACTACATACTTATGAATATACAAATAGAAAACAAAATAGCTTTAACAATTGCAAATGTATGTGTCCCTAATAGAGACGATCCTGAATTCTATACAAAGGGCCTGTTTCCAGTAATGTTAATTCTCCATAGGAGCCTGCCCCCGTATAATTTCTTATCTAGCTCAACTACTGTTTTTTTTTCTTTTCCGAAGAACAATTTTACACCTTTCCGACACCCAGATTTCATAATTTCAGTGAAAATGTATTTTTATAAAGTTGTCAATTTCAGCATCAAAGACATAAGTTCGTAAATAAAAGAAGGTTATCTCGAAATTGT